CCCCCCCCCCCCCCCCATTGGGTCTAAAATGTGTGATCAGTTGGGTCTAGAATGTGTGTAGTACAATTTTCGCTCAAAATTTTCATCAACAAAATTCCTTCAAGGCTTCATCATTCTGTACAAGACACCTGCATGTCTGATTTTTCCATTTTAATTGCCAATTGACCAATACAAATTTGTAAGAAAATATATATAAACTTCTACAGACTACAGTGTTTGCAAAACCCAAAATTGCAAAACAAAACCCATAACCCAACCCTAAAATACTATTTCGTTACACAAAATATAATCAGCCATGTTGTATTTACATGATGTATATACAATATGTTCATTCAAGCTGATTCTACAATTGAATATGGTCTTAATGGTCTTTTCATACATTTAGTCCTTATTAATCAGCATGGCTGTCATCTTTGTCATGTTTTCACAATTTAGTATTTTTGTTTCTATAAATTAGGTGTATTTTTTGAGCGCAAAGGTTTATGTTATGTAAATTATATGTACATGTACCTTTTTTGGAAATACTATGGTATTTTCATGATTTTTTTGGACTAATATGCAAATGCTCACCATTGCACTCTGTAATGTCCACCAATATTTAACAGAGATTAAATCGACAGAATTCCATCTTCGTCGACCTCACCCTCATCCCCACTGTCATCAAGTATCTCACAAGCTGGGTTAACCAATCCGTTATTGCTACTCATGAACATCCCGCTTGGTGTACCGATACTTTTTGGTCGCATTTGTTTCCTTGGGTATGTATCTGCACCATCGAGTTTCAGTGACATGGGTAGATCTGGTGTTGAAAATGTTCTATTATCTTGCAACCTCACTCTTGAAAGATCAGGGTTTGATTTCACCATGTTCGTATCCTTGTAACCCATATGCCCTTGGCTCATAGTTCGTGGTGTTGCGACAGGCTGATTGGCTGGTTTAACGGTTATTATAAGGTTATGACTGTTTGCGATCATCATGTCCGTAACTTGATCTAATGTTTTACTCGAAACTTCTATACCATTAACCTCTAGGACCTCGTCGTTAACTGCCAATAGCCCAGTACTCTCAGCCAAACCTCCAGGGACCAGCCTCGATATAAAAATCCCCGGGACCTTCTCTATTCCATTTGGAGTCACTCGCACGCTCGTGCCATCTCGGATATAGAACCCCAGCGGCTTATCGCTGTTGTGTTTTAAAAGCCGAACACGTCGATGCGTTTCAGGGACTATATCAACATCAACAATAGCAGACACTCTCCTGAAATCTGAAGGCGTGCTTATAGCCAATCTGTGTGCCAGTTTCGGACGATTAGCCACAACATTTGTTACGTTTGAGAGGATATTTCTTTTCTTCGGTGATCCAATAACAGGCGGAACATAAGCGTTGTCATTATCATAGCTTTCTCCTGACAAGAAAAATAGCATTTCAAAACTTTATTACTTTGATAATTAATTATTATATTCGGTACAAATCTATACATACACATATGCTTTGCATGTTAATGAATGTATGTGCTTTAGATAAAGTAGGCTGTCAATTTCATGTAAAGTTGACATATTTAAATTTCATTTTTGAAATTATTGCTGCATCACAATATTTTTTATAGTTCAACAACTTTGATTATGTAATTTCACATTTAATTTCATTTATAAATGGTTTAGAGTCTTTCTTGTCCCTGAAATGTAAGTAGAACAACCCAATATTAATAATTGAAATTAATTTGGCCCCATTAAAACCAGCCAAACATGAACAAGACAGGACAAACCTCAACTATTTGCTAAAGTTAATGGCTTTGGTCTCATTGAATAAAGTTAATATCATTAGTCTGAAGTGGTGTATATGTATAATGAATTGCTAGGAACAATAATCTTTGGTTTAGACTTTCGCCTACAGGAAAAAATCATATTTTTCAAATAGAATTCTTTTAAGACAAGTCAAATGTTGCAATTATCTTTTAAAAGTAACACATGGTTATAATTTAAAATAATAAATGTTCATTATTTAAATCAATACGATCGATTTATGTGATGTATTTTAATAATGGTCCGCTACCCTTTGTAAATATAGCCTCTAGGAATAACTAATATAAGTGTATCTGTGTATCTTATATACGAAAACTATAAATTTTATTTACAATCAAAGCCTGAATTAACATTAGAGTGAAACTTGCCCATATAAATTACCTTGTCGCTGTAGTACAAGTCGTAATCTCTGGTTAGCATGTTGTAATGCTGCGCCCAGATTATTGTTATTGTTGATAGGCAATAACTCCCGATCTGGATCAGTATACCACAACGTAAAGGGAATTTTTTCCAAACGATGTAACTGCTCGACAAAAGTATAAAAGTCCGAGAATTCCGTGTACTTGGTACGGTCGATCGATACCCTTCTAAACTCTGCATCAAACTAGAAAAGTAGCAAAAAATTAGACATTCAATTCTTGAAATACCGAATATACTTCTGGTAAAATTTCAAAGCCATAATATCAAATAATTCCCACAAACCTTTGATTTTAGTTCAATCTTTGATAAATCTGGCTGTGTGAACATACGATGAAGGCTGCCTTGCTTTTTCGAGCCCATAATTTCGTTTATTTCTCGTCAAAAACGAAGATGAAATAGTATTGACATAGACCTCGCTTAGTCGGTTTAAATACTAAGTAATGGCCATGCGTAATAGCGTCGTATTTTCATTCCAACAGGGTGGGGCGAGCTTATTTCTTATGACGTAATGTGCAGCCCACATAGAACCGTGGTCCGTGGGATGATTTCTGATTCATAACCTTATTTTATAATCTTGCTGATGTTTCCAAATTACAAAATTCCGGGCAAAACGTTGGCGTAATTTGCGTAAACACTTGTTTATTATTTCAATCCGCTCTGCTTGCTTCTAGAATTAAACTAAGCGCAGGAAAAAAATTGGATTATATATCACTAAACCCCCCAAATACTCAGAGCCGGTCAACCAGGGGCAGGGGTGCAGCCCAAATATTTGTTTATTCCTTTAGCTTATCGCAAATATTTTAAATTTGGGGTTTCAGTGTGGGCAGTATTCTACAATAAATGCTGTCGTGGTTTGTTTCGGAACTACGTGAGGAAGATTTCACACAATTGAGGGCCTAGTAATGTAGGTTCTGGCGATTACACTTCGTCAGGACTTAGCGGCTGTTTCTATGAAAGTCGGGCTGTCCGGCTTAGCGAGACAGCGGGCCGGTAAGCGAGATCTAATTCAGACGTAAAAACGCACAAGTTGTAGCAAATCTGCAGCAGATCTGCAACAATGCTGTTCCAACTGAACTTGTCAACAAGATGTGTTCGCAACTGCTTGTAGCAAGGCAGTTGTGACAGGGCCGCAGCGAAGTTGTTGACAAAGGTTTGTAGCAAAAGGTTTTGAGATTTTTACGTGTGTAGGAGATTCTATTATTCAGGAAGTTATAGCTTCTACAAAACTTACGGCTGTATTCTAAAAGCTCACTTCCTCTCAAAGAGTGGAAGTTCAATGCCGGGGCTTCCATCGAGTGTCAGCTAGCGCTGTTTTTGAATAGCTGGAGGGTTAGTGTCGTACCTTACTATATGTGAATACTCACCCTCCAGCTATTAAAAAACAGCACTGACACTGCTAATTTGTTCATTGTACAATACCACAATTTGGCAACTTCTTGCAAACTGGATAAATTAAGCTAATACACTTCTGTGATGCAATTTTCGATCAGGAAAGTGTGGTCATCCTTTTAGGAAAAGCCACTTGCTGAAAGGGGCATCGGTTCAGACCATACGACTATGGCTAAAAAAAGCAACTTTGTGCTGATTCAAGCTGGATTCGGGTCGCCACTATTCTTCCTTCCTCTATAAGACTAAAGGAAAGCGCTGAATCAGCAGTGATATCACGGACGGAGCCTACTTTCAGTGGTGGATTACGGCCAGTAGGCGGAGTAAGCTGAAGTCTACAGTACAGGCCCGGGCTTTCAAGAAGCCCATGATTTTCAGATAATGTACTTTTTATTAGAATTATTATTATTTTTTATATAATAGGTATTCCAAAAACTATAAGTTCACTGCCCATTTTACTAATAAATATACTGACCAAACACACACCAGTCACCAGGCTTACAATAGACAGAGTTAGATCGATGAAAATGGCGTGTTGTGACCATGTATGGATATGCCGCCACTGTTGATTCCTGACGACTCAAATAACTCAGAATAACTGCATGCCTTTACTTGAGTTCATTAGCCGTTAATGCATCGTAAGGTTTACCCATCTTGCGACGTCAGTCACGTCATAGATTCAAACGTTGCTTTGACCTCTGTGCCTGTGGCTTGACTATTAAATGTAGTAATGGCGGACTAGAGGACCGTTAACACTTGCAATTTTTGCTGCTATTTCTAGATCTAGTGACTAGTTCGATTTTCTTCTTCTGATGCATGTGAACTAGTAGAGTAGTAGATAAGTTATGAATGTTCTGATCAGTATATGTAGTCCCATCTGAACATTCATAACTCATCCACTCGTTCACATCCATCAGACTGAGAATCTAAAACTGCAGCAAGAATTGCAATACTATAAGTCTATAAAATAATACAAATTAATTAAAGTATATCGATCAAGTTGGTCTAGTAATCAATAATGATCACGTTTTTAGGTTGAGATAAATTAATTGCTTATGTCCGTCTATTAAGAAAGGCACTTTATTGGAAGGAGCTATTATTGTCTGTGGGCTCTTTATCTAAGGTAGTTATGGAAGGAGGGAAATATTTCTGGCATGTGCTGCGTGTGCATTCATTCAAAACACGTAGATAGCAACAAAAATTCGCGGTAAACATACGGCTAGCTTTATAGTGGAAATAGTTTCCCACAATTTTGCCGGCGAAGGATACATTGCTCACAAGGCAGACTTGTCAGAGGCCAAGGTCAGAGGTTACGCCTACGCATGCGTCATACGTTTCTACAGACGTGACTGGTTGTTGGATATCCAAGGAGACGCGATTGGATTGGAATAGGCTTACATGAATCTCCCCAATCGAAACTTCATGTAAGCCCGATTCCAATCGCCTCTGCGGAGGAGAGAGTCCAAGGCCAGTTTACTCTTACAGTAATGTCATCAGGTTGTACAGAGGCGTAGCCAGGATTTTCGGTCAGAGGGGGCCGGCAAAAACCCAGGTGGGGCCAAGCCGCCAGTGACTCGAGATGCAAAGTTCGCGCAAGAAAATTTTGTGGACCACACAACCTTTTAAATCTCCCCCCCCCCCGTCGACAACTTTTTCGGTAAAAAATGTTTCTGGACAATAACATTACAATTGCTTTCGTAGCACTTTTCCCGATTTCCGTATCACTTTTTCCGATGCTTCACCACGAAGATTCCGACGAGAGTTTGAGCAAGAGAACGAAGTCGGACGACGACGACGTGGGCTGTGGTTGATAATTTTTGCCTGTCTTGCACATTATCTTACGCATTCTGAGTTTAGGGTCAGGCTTGAAGACAGATTAGAGATTTATGTTTAGCTGTTTATGAATGCTGACCCAAATCCTTACCCTGACCAGGACAAAACAGCGAGACATGAATCCATATCTCGGCTTCGTTCACAACGAAAAATTCGCAAAAAAATTGGCAAAATTCGCTGTGAACTTCGTTCCGAACGAAGGCAGAAGAACAAAGACGGGATATAGTTTCATGTCTCGCTGTTTTTTTTCTGGGTCAGGGCACGAATTAGGGTCAGTATGCATAAACAGCGACACATGGGAAGACACGTTGAGCAACCACCAGCTGTGACGTCCAACTCAGTATGCGCAAGATAATGTGCAGACGACAAAAATTGGCAAGTACGCCTTCGTCTTCGTACTTCGTTGTCTTGCTCAAACTCTCTATTGACAATCTTCCGACGGGTCTCAATTCTCCGATGGGTCTCAATTCTCCGACGGGTCTCCCCCCCCCCCCCCCCCCCCCCCCCCCCCCCCCCCCCCC